TGGTTCTTCATTTTCTTAAATTTCATCTTGTGGTAAAATGCATATAAAGAAAGTTGCCATTTTAAGCATGCCTCAGGTGTACAATTGGGTGATGTCATTTACATTCACCGTGTGGCACAGCCGTCCCCGCTGCCCGTTGCCACACGTTTTGCATCCCTCCAGGCAGAGACGCCAGGCCTCCTGCAGCAGTGACTCTACCCCGCCCCTCACCCCGTTGTTGGTGCTGGGTGCTGTCGACTTACAGCCACCTGTGTACCACAGAGAGAAACACTGGCCGGTCCCGTACATCCCCGCAGCCCTTGCCGTACCTGAGCCCATCGTTGCAGCCACTGCCTCAGTCCGTCTCATCGAGGGCCTTCCGCTTTTTCTCTGACCCTCTGCTTTACCAAACAAGATAACCTTCTCTAGGGATTGGTCTCTTCTGACCACATGACCAAAGTAGGTGAGACGAAGTCTAGCCATTCTCGCTTCTAAGGAACATTCTGCCTGCACTTCTTCCAAGATGGATTCGTTCATTCTCTGGCGGTCCATGGTATTTTCACTATTTTCCACCAACACCACAATTCAAAGGCATCAGCTCTTCTTTGGTCTTCCTGCCCCTGGTCACACTCGTCAACGTGGTGCCGGAGATACCATGTAAGTGGGGTCCTTGTGTGTCTGGTTTCTTTCACTTGGCATGAGGTTTTCAAGCTTCATCCATGCAGTAGCATGTGTCAGAACTTCATTTCTTTTCAGGGCTGACTACTACTCTGCCGTATGTTTATCCTTTTATCTCTTGATGGGCATTTGGGCTTTTTATACCTTGTGGCTCTGTTTGTGTCCCTGCTGCCATGTCTTGTGGGTGTGTACGTAGCAGTGGAATGGCTGGGCCAGGTGGTGGTTCTGTGTTTAACATTTGAGGAATGGCCACACTGTTGTGCACAGAGGGCAACAGTTGTTGTAATGCACGGCTGCCTTGCTAACAGCAGAGCGGGGCCGACACTGGCACCGTGCAGGGCTCACAGCCTGGGGGCTGCTGTGTGGCCCCCTCTATGTTCCTGTACAGCGCTGGAAGGCCACGGGGTGGCGTGGTGACCCTGGCTTTGGGTTGGGTAAACCTGGTTCAGCTTGGCCCTGTGCCCCCTAATCATGCATCCTGGGGAAGGTTGGCTGCCCCCTTCCTGGGCCTGTACCTGTGAAGGGGGTGGTCATGAGCCCTGGCTCACAGGGAGGTGGGAGACAGAATGAGTGGATGCTCATGGAGCTCCTGCCACAGTCCATGACCTCTGGACTCATCCTCTCTCAGCCTCAGTTTCCTTATCTGTGGATGGGGCTCTGTGGATGATTCAGGCCTTTTGCCTGATTGATTGTTGGGGAATCAGTGAGATACACATTGGAAACGGCACAGCCTCATATAAAGAAGAGAAGATTTCTGCAGTCTCTTGTCTGGGAAGCATGTTTAGTTCCTTGAGGATGAAACAGTGCTTGGGTAAAAATAAAATGTCAATTGACAGTATTCAGGGGAGATTTTCATTGACGAAGCAATGTTCTGCTTTGTTGAATTCCTGCTTCCTATGTTGTTTGGGAGGAAGAGTTCTCTCAGGCCGTCACCTCACTGCTGGCTTGTGGAGAAAGGCCGTCTGTGGATCTGGAGAGAGGCTCTGCTCCCGTGGCCCTGGTGCCCTGCAGGGCCCTGCCTGCACCGTGGCTGGGGCACGTGGCCCCTTGCCTGCCTTCCTCATTTCCTCTGCCTCAGGGGGCTTTGCTGTGAAGAGAGGTGAAAATGGGATGGGGCAAGTGGGGGACGGGAATCAGGAGAGGTTAGTTGTGAGATGGGGAGTGATGGCATGTTTGCAGGCTAACAGGAAGGAGTCGGTAGAGAGGAAACCCTGAGCTGCAGAAGGAGGCGATTCTGGGATCGTGTGTCCGAGTTGGTTGGGGGGCTTTGAGACGGTGCTCCCATGTGGTAGTGTTGCCTTTGTCCAGTGGCCTTCCAGGGTGGGGGCCCTGGGGACAGCCCTCGCGGGCACAGACAACTAGAGACACATTGACTTTTGTTTATTTATTTGTTCATTCATTCATTCATTCATTCATTTTGCTTTAGGTGAAAGTTTATAGCGCACGTTAGCCCCCGTTCGACAGTTTGTACATACGGTGTCCGTGGCGTCGGCTGCATCCCCCATGGGTGTCGGTGCTCTCCCCAGTGCCGCCCTGGGCCCATTTCCTTTCCTCTGGATTTTCTGCCTCTTCCTGCCTTCTCACCTTTGCTTTAGGACAAATGTCCTTTTGATCTCCTATGATTGGCTGTTCTAAGGAACACGTTCCTCTCAGGTGTTATTATTTATTTCATGGGCCTGTCTGTTGTGTGCCTGAAAGGTGGTCTCCAGGAATGGCTGCAGTTCCAGGTCAGGAGGGTGTCTTAGGGCTAGAACCTTGGGGTCTCCTTCAGTCTCTGTCAGACCATCAGTCTGGTCTTTTTTATGAAGTTTTGTTCTCATCCCTCCCCCCCCAACACTCTGTCCTGGACCCCCTTTACGATCCCAGTCACAGAGATCGGCCTTGGTAGCTGGGCACCATCTAGTTCTTCTGGACCTGGGGTCGTGTAGGCTGGGGTTCCTGCAGTGCATTAGTCCTTTGGACTAATTGCTCCCTTGAGTCTTTGGTTTTCTTCACTCTCCTTTGAGACCAGTCATATCTTAGATGGCTGTTGGCAAGCTGGAGGAGGCCCCAAGGCCGGGATGGTGAGTTTCCAGGGATGGTGGTTTCCTCCCGCTCAGCTCCTGGGAGAGGACACGCAGTAGGTGGAGAATTGGATTGACCCAGGATGCAATTTACCAAGTGCCTGCTCTGCTTCTAAGGGGCCCTGGTGGCCTGATGGTTAAGCACTGGCTGCTGACTTAAAGGTTGGCAGTTTGAGTCCACCCAATGGCTTCATGGGAGAAGGAGCTGGAGATCTGCTTCCATACAGACTGCCACCAAGCAAACCCTGTGGGGCAGCTCTCCTTTGTCTGCTGAGTTGCTGGGAGTTGGAATTGACTTGATAGCACCAGCAGCAGTGCCGTGTTTCTGGAGTCCCTGGTGGTGCTGATGGTTAATGCACTGGCTGCTGACCACGAGTTTGGGGTGCGATTCACCCAGAGCCTCCTCAGAAGAAGGGCCTGTGATCTACTTTTGAAGAGTCAGCCATGGGAAACACTGTGGAGTGGAGTTCTACTCTGAGACACATGTCAGGGTCCACTTGGCAGCGGCTGGCTTTAGGTGTTTCTGCTACTGAGTAGGCCCTTTCCCAGTGTTTCCTGTTTAATTCCAATGACTGAGAGGTTATTACTGCTTCTCCAAGGTTGCCTGGCTGTAGGGGCTGGAGCTAGAAACCCAACCCGGGCCTGGCTGATGTCAAACCACTGTCCTTTCCATTAAACAATTCATTTCGGGGTAAATGAAAAAAAAAACCAAAAAACCCCAAAACACCTAACTTCTAATTGTTATGAAAATTGAACTCCTAAATTTAATATGTTTTTAGGTGTGCCTAAGGAAGGTTGGGCAATCTACTTCCGTAGCAATACCACCTCAGAAACCCAAGGAGGGGTCGCTATGCGTCAGGTCCGACTCAATGGCACACAACAACATAATTATTTTATTTTATTAGACTCAAAAATGAGTGTTTTTTTCTTCTTCTCATTATGTCTTCCTGCCTAGTGTGGTGGGATAGCGTGATGGACTATTAGTAAATGTTGGTGAATGGTGACATGCTTTACATAGGAATGAAGTGGCTTGTAAAAGCACCAGTGCTCCAGCTTTCTCACCTGCCATTCCTGTGCCAGTCAGTGAAAGCTGTCCGGCTCCTGCGAAACACTATTCAGCTCTCTTTTGCACTTGATTTCAGAGAGCCTGGGAGAACACTTCATTGCTGTTGCTGAAGCCCATTCATTTGAAGGGTAGGATTTAATTACTCAAGGTCTGTTCTGGTTATCTAGTGCCGCTCTGACAAGAAAATAGCAAAGACAGGATGGCCTTAACATACAGGAATTTATTCTCTTACAGGTTGGGAGACTAGAAGTCCAAGTTCCAAGTGCCAGGCTCTAGGGGGTGTATGAAAGCCCTTGACTTTGGGTTTCAGCTCTGCCTCTTGCTGCTGGCCCACTGAAGAGCCATCTCTTCACTCAGGCAGCTACTGGCTGCTGAGGCTAACAGGCCCAGGGTCGACAAACAAAATGGTACGGTCCCGATGGTACCAAACCACACAGCAGGCCATTGATTCAAGTCCGTTGAAAGTCCCAGGATCGGTAGAGCATGGCAGGGCACTGAACTACTCGGCTACATGCAGGGTTCAAGTGTGCCATAAGCTACAGACCGTTCCCAAAGCTGTTTCTTTCATACGGGAAGTAGACCACATCGCTAAAGCAGCTACACAGCTGCTCCAACACATTCCATCATGGAGTTAATTACCAGTCCCACCATGGGGAATAACTACATTCAGCTGCCCAGCCACTCAGCCAGGCCCGGCCAAACTGACACACAGACTTAACCACCACAAGCTTTTTGCTTGACTCTGTCTACACTGGAATCTGGACTGTTGAGAAGATTTCAGTGCTGCCGGTTGCCAGCCAGTCCATGCTAACTGACGCCGCTGTGCATGTCAGAGTGGAGCTCTGCTCCGTTGGGTTTTCAGTGGCTCGTTGTTCAGAAGTAGAGCCCTAGGGTTTTCTTCCATGGTGTCCGGGTGGACTCCAACCTGAGACCTTTTGGTTATCAGCCAAGTGTGCTGTTTGCCCCACCCAGAGACTTCAGATTTGGGAACAGGAAGGTCCACATGACACACTTTCCAGAAGGCCTGGGGTTCTGAGACTCTGGAGACAGAATATTCTACAACTGGGCCCATTGGAAGATGGAAGGGGCCCCTCAGTGGACCTGAGTTGCCCAGCAGTGGTGGTCTCTATAGCCCTTGGAAGTCATCATTGTTTGGGTGGGAGATGAAATGACATATTTTGCATTTTTTTCTTACAGAAAACACTGCCATCTTCATGTGTAAATGCTGTAACCTTTTCTCACCGAATCAGTTGGAACTCCTCTCCCATGTTTCTGAGAAGCACGCAGAAGAGGGGGTGAACGTTGATGAGATCATCATCCCCCTCCGGCCCCTCAGCACTCCTGAGCCCACCAACCCAAGCAAAATCGGAGACGGTAAGGGGTCTGGGTGCTGGGTGGGCCACACCACGGGTCCCTTTTTTTCTCTTTGTACCGGTTGGTTATCGGGATGCTGACCTGCTGTCACAGATTTGGTCCAGGTTTCTGTTTGTAGACCAAACAGAAATTGAGGGAAAGTGCCTTCCAGGCCAGGCCAGGAGAAGGACAGAAGAGCTGAGCACCTCAGAGCTTTAGCTCTCTTTTTCCTCTGTGCTGACTCTGATGGCAAGCTGTGTGATGTCTGCAGACCAGTGTGCACTCACATACATTGTTATGTGTGTACTTCCTGTGGTCATGTTTTCTAAATGCAGTAATTCCTGCACAGTGTACCTATATGTCAAAAAGCTACGAAAAGTGAAACCACCTTGGGGCTGTCAGTAATTTAGGTATTTTATTGTCATTCAGGTGACCATAATGTTGTTTCAGACACAAATAGATCATCCCTATGAAGTCACTAGTACTTGGCAGGACCACGTTTCTGTCTGTTGTCCAGCCTATGTTCAGTTAACACCTACTTTCAAGTTCTTGCCTTGGACAAGAACTTATATCATCTCCTTACTTAAGGAGCACCTACTAAAAGCCAGGCCCTGCACTTGGTAGGTTGCATTTGATTTCTTCTTTTGTCCTCACGACAGCCCTGTAATGCAAGGGTGACTACCGTTTGCCTTTGCTAGAACTCAGCTGCAGAAAGAATCAGTGTCTTGCTCAAGGGGCAGATCTGAGATTGGAGGTCAGGTCTGAGTCCCAGTCCTGGACTCTCTATACTTGTCCAGCTCATGCTTGTCCAGCTGCTGACAGCTGGGCACCATCAGCTGGATGTGGCTGTGTACAACCTCCACCTGACTGCTCTTTCTCCAGGTCTGCTCACAAGCCCGTGGTGGGGCCAAAGAGCCCCACAGACCTACCACCAATATTAACTGATGGTGATGTCTTTACACATACTAGCTGCTCCTCCTTCTCTGATATTACTGGTTCCAGGGGCCGGATTTTCTCAGCGTTCACCTCAAGCCACTAAAAGTAACTCTTAGAACTTCCCCAAACTTCTGAATGACTCAACCCACTGCCAGGTGTGTCTCTTTGAACAGCCTGGAAATGGCCAGAGGGACTTGTTATAACCAAAACCTTCTTTGTCTGGGGTCTCTCCTTCCTACCAGTGTCAGACAGATGACCAATAAGGCAGCCTGTTCAGAAATGGCAGTCTGAATATTCCCAAGAAGGAGCTGTTGTTTAGTGTGCTAATGAAGCCACAGTGGGATGCTTACTGCCATAGACTGTGTTTCAGCACGGGAGGCTGGCTGCAATTTCTCTTATAAAAATAGTTTGGTGGGGATTTTTCTCTCTCTGGTTTCCAGTGGTTCATTCTGTAGTGTGTTGTTTTTGTCTTTGGAGACCTAATTACTGTACCTGGACGGCTCATCTAATCCTCTGCTGCTGCACCTGATCCCATTCAGTGGGAGACATCTGCACACTGTAGACAGGATGTGTCTCCCTTTACTCGTTGACTGAACCTGATGGATTTTCTGTGAGTCAGAGCTCTGCCTTTGGAATCCTTGTTCCAGATTTACATGATCATTGCCGAAACAAGATGACACCCCCTGATTCACGTGTCATTGATGCCATAACACCAGCTTCCCTTTGCTGTCTTCTGTGTGCTGAGCATGCCCTCGGTGCTGTGGGCTTTGTCTCTGACTTACGCCTCATCTCATTGTACCCCTGCCTTGTGACAGGCATATTTGTCTTCATTTTTCAGAGAGGCAAAGTGAGGCTTGGAGAGCTATCAAAACTCACCTCAGGCAGTGCAGCTGGTATGTGCTCAGAAACCAGACCTGTGGCCGTTGAGGTGATTCTGACTTATGATGACCCCATGTGTTGTGGAATAGAACTAAGCTCCATAGGATTTTCTTGACTGCAATCTCTATGCCAGCAGATCACCAGAACTTTCTTCCATGGCGCCACTGGGTGGGTTTGAACCACCAACCTTTCCATTAACACTCAAGAGGAAACCGTTTGTGCCACCCAAGGATGAGTATGTGCTAGAGTCAGCTTAAACCCACACCTGTCTGACAGCAGGCTTGTGCTTTCTACACTGTCAGATTCTGACCCCTCCTTGCACTCTCCTCTGCATGTTGGAGAGAATTCACCCATCTGTCAGTGTGTCATGCTGTGGTGGCTTGCATGTTGCTGTGGTGCTGGAAGCAATGCCATCGGTTTTTCAAATTCCAGCAGGGTCACCCGTGATGGAGAGGTTTCAGTGGAGCTTCCAGACTGAGACAGACTGGGAGGAAGGACCTGATGATCTACTTCTACAAATAATGAGCCAGTGAGCAGCATCTGAAGAGCAGCTGAACACTGTCTGATTGAGTGCCAGAAGAGGAGCCCCTCAGGTTGGAAGGTAGTCAGTATACAACTGGGGAAGAGCTGCCTCCTCAGAGTAGAGTCAACCTTTATGAGGCAGATGAGGTAGAGCATTCAGGACCTTCATTTACTGATGGAGCATGACTTGAAGTGAGAAGAAGTAGCTGCAAAATCCATTAATAGTCAGAACATGGAATGTACGAGGTATGAATCTAGGAAAATCGGAAGTTGTCAGCAATGGCATGGAATGCATAAAGATCACTTTCCTTTACTGTTGTTGTTGTTGTTGTTTGCCATCGAGTCGGCCCTGACTTGTAGCGACCCCTACTTGGGTTTCCGAGGCAGTATCACTACGGAAGTAGGATTGCCCAACCTTCCTTCCAATGGAAATGGACTGGCATTGTCCATTTCAAATCAGACAATCATATGGTATACTATGCTGGGAATGGCAGATTCAAGAGGAATGGCATCACATTGATTGTCAACAAGAACATTCCTGAAGTACCATGTGGTCCGTGATAGGATAATATCCATATACCTGGAAGAAACATCAGTTAATATGATTATTATTAAAATTTACTCACCATCCACTAATATCAAAGATGAAGAAATTAAAGACTTTTTTTTTAATTGTCTGAATAGATCAAACATGATCAAGATGCATTGATAATTACTGGATATGGGAATGCAAAAATTGGAAACAAATAAGAAGGATCTGTAGCTGGAAAAATGCCATCGACCCATGGTAGAATTTGCAAGACCAATGACTTCCTCGTTACAAATACCTACCTTTTTTTTCAACAGCATAAGTGGTAGCTATACACATAAACCATGTCAGATGGAACACACAGGAATTAAATTGACTACATCTGTGGGAAGAGATAATGGAGAAGCTCCATATCGTCAGTCAGAACATGGTCAGGGATTGGCTGTGGAACAGACCATCGATTGCTCCTAGGCAAGTTCTGGTTGAAGCTGAAAAAAATTAAAACAAGTCCACCAGAGCCAAAGTACAACCTTGCGTATATCCTACCTGAATTTAGAGACCATCTCAAGAATTGTTGTTGTTGTTGT